CAAGTAGAGGCTTCTACCGAATGCTCAATTTTGAAATAATACAGATATCTATGCTGCAGGCCCTAAACCCGGAGAGTAGAGCTCGTTGCTGCGTTATGTAGCCTGTCTGCATTCCTTGGGGCGTACAAAGAACGCAAAAGCTCAGGTATGAGTAATTTGAGCCTTCGAAAAGCTCGTGTCGTCAAGCTTTTCGCAGAATAGACTGGGCAAACACAATGGCAGGTGAGGAACCGCCGAAATTGCTTCCACGTGTCAAACCTGACTGTGAATGGAAGAGAGTAAGAAAAAAAATACAAAAGGAAAAAACGGCGCTGCTATGCTGTCGTTCTGGCAAGTGTTCTGGCAAAATGTTTAAAAGCTCCTCAATTCCTGAGGGGGTCACAAAATCTTTGACAGCATTAGAGTTTGAAGGAATTTGTTTTCTCCAGTGACTAAGCATCGCGCACGAACCTGACTGTGAATGGAAGAGAGTTTGAGTAAGAAAAAATACAAAAAAATAAACGGCGCTGCTATGCTGTCGTTCTGGCAAGCGTTCTGGCAAAATGTTTAAAAGCTTCTCAATTCCTGAGGGGGTCACAAAATCTTTGACAGCATTACAGTTTGAAGGAATTTGTTTTCTCCAATGACTAAGCATCGCGCACGGCAGGAGCGGTGTGTTAATTCTTGCCCCCTTCCTCCTTGAAATCCATTCGGAATCTTTCAACGTAGCAACGGCAGGAAATGATATAAAAGCAGACAGCATGTGTTGTCACTACATTAAAAAACTTGAAATTCGTCGAGATGTAAACTTAATTAGCGCAAAACAATACATCAAAAGGGCCTTCACAAGCGCCCGTCCTGTCTCTCTCGTTCTTGTGAATATTTTGTTTTTCGCTCCGTAATTTTTGAATCGCCACATTTATTAATACAAAGAACGGAAGCTGCATCTGAGGACAAGCAGTTCAATGCGAGAGAGCGTAGAGGTACTCGATGCTCGCGAATCGTGCTGCTCTGTCGCCTTGGAAGCCCCATGATTTATGAAGGTGGAATACAGTGCTCATTTTCCTTTGATTTGGGGACATAGTTGTAGATCAACCTCAATGTAAGTCACGATGTTGCGTAATGAAACTCCCGGGAGTTGCACATGTGCCAGAACATGCTGCACAACCCACTTTCATGTCCTCCTAAAGCCATGTTCATTTATTCCGAACAGTTGTGAATTCCACTAGATACATAATAACGAAGTTACGGATAATTATTCAGTTTTCCCTCTAGTTATTATCACAATCCGACATGCGTTCTTCTCTGAGAAAAGATCATACGAGTTTTGTAGCATGCATGAGCATAAATTGCTCATTATACTTTGTCAGAGTCGGCGAACGGTGTACTCTATAAATGCATTACCTATTGGCAATAAAGTTGAAGCCAAAGCGATGCCTAAAATCAGTATTACATCACCAAAATTATGAGTTTTTTTTAGGAGATACTCCAAACGTCTTGTTGGAAATTCTAACTTCAAATTGTGAAACACGCCGGCGCGAACGGCAATGGCTCCGTGACCAAATACACTGCAAAAAATTTACAAATAGCTGTGCACCTTAGAAACAGGCAGTATGCATTAACTTTTTAGTCACGTTAGCATTATATAATGTTGAAATCTCATCTCAGTGGTGCATTTGTGTCGCCATTTCATTCCGTGCATTTAAGTTGAGGTTATCATTTTTTTCGAAGATATGAGCCAGTGGCTTTTATTGAGGACCTTCACTGGAACGAGTTTCAAGGGTGTGGGGAATGAGACAGATTTACAATTTAGAAATTAATTCTGTGGCTTTACAAGCCGGCACATACACAATTACAAGGTACGCCATAAAAAGAGACTATAAATATTTGTAACCATAGATCAGCAAAATAAAAAGACGCCGACCTCATTAAATAAGTTTTTTTTTTCGCATATGACTCGCAAGGACCCAGACTAACCAAAATTTGCTGAATCGAACTAGGAACTCGCTCGAACTCAGACGTCTTCGTGGTAAAACCCAGCCTGGCTCACTCGGACTGAGGCTTACCTAAGTATAACTTAGGCGGACTCACTCAGACTCCGATTCACGCCTCAATCTGAGTCTTTCAATTCCTCTGATAGACTCATCAGTGAATTTGCCGATTTATAATGGTAACACATCTCTCGTTCTTGTTGATGAAGACCTTTTGTGGGCGTTCACGATGACGAAATTTGGGAGAATGAGAAAGAGTGTAAGGGTGGTTGCTATGCCCACATAACGATAATAGGGATGATTTACCAATCTACGCAAGAACAAATCAACGAAAAACATGAAGGCTGCGTAGGAACCAGAAAAGACAAGTGCTGGACTTAAAGTTAAATTTTAATACAGAAAGCGCCTACAAAAATTAACCAGAAACACATGCTTAAAAAGGCTATCTTAACCACAGTTGCACAAAAAATGTCTCAAGGTGGTGGTATGAAGCAGCCGATATTCATCGAGCACCAAAATATCAACACCAAGTTGATCTGTGAGGAAAGCTGTGGGATCAATCACACATGACACTTCTCTCTGTTTTTATTTCGAAGGCTTCACGAGTTTCGCGTTCAATATTTTTTTCCTTTGCCAATGACATACAATGATTCGAAAGAAATTCCTTTGTCATGCGGCCGTGTCTACAGAGATCAGACAGGTCGACGCCTAGTGTGAACATTCTTCAGGCACAAAACTGACCTCTCTGCTAATCTCTGCGTCCCCATATATCAGTGTCATTGGCAAAGGAAGAAATAGATTGAACGCGAATATTTTGAAACCTTAAGAAACAAACAAAAAAGGGCAAAGTGAAACGCATGTATAAGTGGTCCTTCAGTTGTCCTTACAGCTAGATAAGGGATTCACGTTGCTAGATAGCGGGTGCACGTGGCGTTGATCATGGAAGTGTGCTGTTTGTACCATTTTGACATGCTTCTTGTTTTTGTAGTGTTAGGTGTGCAGCTGTGGAACACCTCAGCCTAGTTTTCTTAAATGCGCTTCTGGTACATTGGTTTGTAGACTTTCCGCCATAAACATGTCGCTTGATGCCCTGTCAGCTGGAGCTCCTTAGCTTGTTCTTCCAAAAATATTATGAACGAACTCGCCGAGCAAGCTACGTATGTGGTGTCCTTTTTGAAACAAGGTTGTGACAAATCGGCATCTATAGTTAGTTGATTTAGGTCCGAGATATAAGTGAAGGAAACGCAGATTACTTGATTTGATAGCGCGGCGTGGAACAACGCACGGTGTGGAGGACAAAGCGCCTTGAAAATACAAGCCCACGCTTCAGTGTTTGTCCGCATTCATCTTCTGTGGGTTAGTTTACACTTTACACAAACTTAATTTATGGAGATCATTATTTCATTCGATACTGTTGATCCTGCTCAACCTGCGGATACAGTGAAATCGTTCCTGTTTGATGGAGCATTTCGTATATTAATTTTCATTTTCCCTTCTTTGTTCATTAAAGGCCATGCGTGTAGTCCAGTTTCTTAACTGATCTTTTTTTTTAGTAAATATGCCCTAAACAGCTAGTCCTTCCTCAGTTATAACAATATCTTCATTACACATCGCGCTTCTACCTAGCGCGTCCACAGTTCTGGCCCCCACCCTTCGCATTTGAACTGCCTTTGTTCTTCGACTCGCTTGCACAGTCATAATTATGAATATTCCAGTACCGACTTTCCGCAGTTCTGCCCCCCCCCCTTCGCATTTGAACTGGCTTTGTTCTTCGACTCGCTTGCATACTCATAATTATGAATATTCCAGTACCGACTTTCCCATCCTTCATCATTGTTCAAAGCCCACCTCACATTACATATTCTCGTCAGCTAGAATATGTCGACAGTCATCGCCAAAAACCACCGTTGGTGATGTCACTGAACGGGATTCACTGAAATATAGTGAACTCAAAAGTATCTTAAAATTCACGTTTAAATATAATCCAACATTATTACGAGCACTCGACAAGGTTTTTTTTTTTTTTGTTATAGTCCCACCTATCTAACTTGAAATGGCAGCTGAACCAATTTTGATGCATTTGCGAAGTGGACAGAATTAAGGCCAGACTGGTGACAGAAGATGCAAAATAAACGTAGACAAGCTGGAAAAAAAAAACTTATTTAAATGACGCGCCGACTAAACACGTCGGCGACGGCGGCGCGCCGATCGGTTGGCGTCGGAGGCGGCAGCGCAGCAAAAATTTTTGGCGACGGCGCGCCGACCCTTCAGCGCACACCTCTAATGATGGGTAGTACACACATTTGCCTAGTCTTCGTACTTGTGGGTGGAGAATCGTACTTGCGGCTTCGTTTGTTGCTGGTTACGGTTTTGTTTTAAAGAAAAGAACAAAACCTTTTAAACTTTGTGACCTGGGTTAAAAAAATAAGCTTTAAAAAATAAGTTGGTGAAGCACAATCACTGAACATTTGCTGATTTTTTTGTTTTGTGAGAAAACAGCTTCAAGCCACACGAACACAAACGAAGCTAAAAGCAGGGCAGAAGTACGAAGATTAGACAAATGTGTGTGCTACCCATCATTCCCATGCTCTCTGAAGCGCCGTGCGTTGCAGCTCCGTAGGCACTAGCGCCAGAGTTGTTCCTAGTGTATCCATATGTAAACAAGAGAGGAGAATTTGCCTAGTCAATATGGCCGACTTCCGGCTTCATCGCGGCTTCACAACGAGTGACGTCAGGGCCTCTCTTACCTTTTCTTCCTCCGTGCCCGACAACTACACTGTACCGACAACAAAAACTGCGTCAATTATTTGATGATGATAGTACTACCAGCGCTATCTCGCCTCGCGTTTTGCAGTTTAGTACGCCGCCGCTACGTATTTGCATGTTATTTTGATACAACAGCCCAAAGGTACAATTTCCGTTCTCTGGTGTTCTGTGGCCAGATCATGGGGGACGGGTGCAGCAGGAACGCGACGGCGACACCTGTTGCATCGGTGACGCGGATTGAATCATTCAGCGCCTCGCATCGCTTGCACAGGTGACAGCGCCTATTTAAAATGCTCGAGATCGGAAGGAAAAGCAGCGTGCTCAGAGCACTGTCGAACCACAGAGGTGCAAACATATTTGTCCAGTCATAATGCTCACGGCATATCTTTTAGTGAGTTTTGACCATGGAGGACGGCTGTGTAGGACATGATAGAGAATTCCACAAGTAAATCACGACACGAACTGAAGGCGATAACTAAGCACATACAAAATTTCACCGAAACGGAAGCATCCATATAGAATTTGATTTATATCCTGTGATGGTTGGAGTATTTGTAGCCAATTCCGGACGCACAGCAGTTTTCACTTGTACGGCACGAATTTTGAATATTTTGGGATTTGCTGTCGATAAGGAGACGTGTTTGGAGAACTCTAAAAAGAGTGCTGTCACACTGCATCGCATATACTTTTATAATATTAAAAAGGCACTTTCGGTTGTTATATCGAGAGGGTGGCATCGCCGTGACGTGTGATGACAGTGCGACGTCTCGGAAAGGCAGCGATTCGCGCTCTCTACCACGGCCGCTGGATAAAAAAAAAAAAAAAAAGCTTTTTTTTTTTGTTTTTTATACAGCGGTTGTGACTCTACACTCTAAAAAAAAAATCAAATAAAAGTTAAGTCTTTTTGAAAGGACCGCGAGATAGTGCAAGTCCTTTAATTCCTTGCACTATCGCCGCGGGTCGAGCACTACATGAAGTTCTCAATAGGAAAGTGGCCAGCACCGAGTTTTTTTTTTAGAAAGGAAGCACAAGCAAGCCGAACGACAATTATTGTTGTGGGACAAAACTACACCCTTTTTACTCAATCTGTTTAAGTTCTTTTTCTTTTTTTGCTGGCTCATCTGCGCAAGTGGCAGAAGGGAGCTCATTGAGATCGAGAGGTTTAGCTTCGAACAAACTATGCAGATTATCAATTATAAACTCCAGGTTAATACTAATAGCAGCTGCTTTCTGTGTTCAGTTTAAATGTTTTTGCAACACGCCCATGCGCACTAACACTCACTGACATATCCTCTGCGACGGTGACGCATTTGTGCTCTTCAGCCTTTACTGCACGAGAGGCCACAAACCCAGGTTTATATCATATCAGGTTTATACCCAGCCAAATAAAAAAACCATTGCCACCGATTAGGAATTCCAGTTGGTCTCAAGCGGCCACAGTTGGTGTGACCCATTATCTAATAGGTTTCAATGGGATATGCTCTGAAGTTTCAAATTACAATGCTAGCCCATGGGCTCTTCTTCAATTGGTTCTCTAACATAGTAAAAAAAAAAAAGTCACTTGGTCCAACTGCATGACGATACCAAATGGCCCCCATTTGCTAAAACCGATTGGGACCTTGAATCTCAATGGGATAGCCTAATTGAAATTAATACTTCTAAATGGTCACGGAAATTGGTGCAAATTTTTTATTTTGCCACTCCATTAGAATTTTCCATAATCCAAATGTTTGTGCAATTTTAATTGTGGTCAATCCATATTGAAAGATCGTTCTTCCAATTGAATGTTTGGGTATTTGTAAATGTCAGGCCTTATCATTATACAGGCCTTCAATTTTATATTTTTATATATAGGACCAATTACAGGTTGTTACAGGTTCAATTGGTACTCTATATAGAACAGTTCTGGGAGGGCCTCATTGCATAATGAATTGGTATTATTTATATTTAATATCCAGTCAAGAGAAATGCATGAGGGTTCCGGGTGATCGAATGATTAATAGAGTTTTACAGTAAAATTTATGAATAGGGATGCACTGAGGACCTTTTATACCAGATAGGGTTCTAATGGGAATTTCACCAATTTATTATAATTGAACTTCACTGATTGTCAATTGGTTTCAATAGTTCATCACAGGTATGAGTAAAGCTGTGAAACAAGAAAATAGTTCATAGAAAAGTGCTTGCGATTACACCAATACTACTGAAATAAAATATCTTTGCGCTTTAATATGGTTGACAAAGTGTGCCATTTATTTCTGATCGATTCACTTTACAGCTGGCCAAAAATTACCCAATTGTTCTTGGGACCTTGCACAACTTTACTAGGCTGAATTTACTGGCATGTTGAGCAAGGTTATGTTTAGAGAAATGAACATGACAATAGTAAAGAAATTTTTCATTTCACAGTAATGCAATCCAACAATATGGCTTCTTAACTTTGATGCGTCTCCAACAAGATTAACAGGTCGTACCTTTAATTCAGAGCAACACGGTCTTTCCGATTACACAGATTGGTCTGACCAATCAATCTAATTGGTCAAACCATTTGGATTACGTGTATGCTTTTGATGGTTTGAGTTGGTCAGACAATTGATAAATCCAATTACAACTCTATATTATTTTCAATTGGTGAACTGGGCTCATCTGCTAGTCTAATTGGTTGATCCATTTCGATTTTGATGGTGTAACCCATCGGTTCTATTGGTCAGTCCCATTCAAACCAAACAGGATGACTTATTAAACCCACAGGAATCTTCCAATTAGTGTCCCAAAACACAATTGGAAATTTTCAAGTGGTTCTAATCAGATCTGATTGGAAATTCCCAATCGGGTCTGAGCAAATTTGTTTGGCTGGGTACAAGAGCTGTCGATACTCCGCCAACTCGCAGACAGCAATCGAACACTTTCAGTATTTATTTATACAAATACCTCATGTGTTGCTATGTTTAGAACGTAGTGTGTTCCACATTTTTATGCCCCGAAGAAGTGCAGAGTTGTTATATGCGAGCGTTTGCCCTGAAAAGCATTGAAAGCACATGCTATTATTGAGACGGCTCGAAGAGCGATGTGGTTTTGTGAGAGGCAACGTGATTTGACGGTTAGTGTAAATTGTCTCGTGTAGCAAGCAGATTAGAGAAATATTCCTACGTGTCTGAAGGTGTGGAAGTGAAATTGAATGCTTAATTTTTGTTATATTAGATAGTCTGTTGTATTCATGAGCAATTAAGTGAGCTGCACCATTCTGGACAGCTTCAATGGATTTTATAAGGTAGTCCTGGTGGGGAGACCAGATGGCTGATGCGTATTCAAGCCGAGGGCGTATGAAAGTTTGGTAGGCGAGCTTGCGAGTAGTCGCAGGTGTGCTGATAAGGTTACGTCTTAGGTAGTCTAATGTTTGCAATGCTTCTGCAGTTATTTTGTCTATGCACGTAGAATACGATAGGCTAAGTGTGAAATGAATACCAAGATATTTGTAGCAAGATGTAGTTAAGAGAGTGTCATTCTTAAGGGAATATGTAAATGCGTAAATCGATAGCTTTTGCCTGAAATTCATAATTTTTCATTTGTTAGTGTTCAAGCTCATAAGCCATTGATCGCACCAATGTGTTATACGATCAAGGTCACGTTGAAGCGCCCTATGGTCACCGACCATATCAATTTTTCTATATAGCACACAGTCGTCTGCAAACAATCTGATTTTGAATGCTATCTGGGATGACAGGTCGTTAATGAATATAAGAAAAAATAGAGGGCCTAAGACGCTCCCCTGTGGAACACCAGAAGAAACGTCAGATATGGGAGATGAAGTTGCTTCGATGATTGCGAACTGTTTGCGGAATGACAAGAAGTTTCGAAACTAGGAGACAATTAAGGAATCAATATTTAGTGATGAAAGCTTTTCTATGAGCCAACAGTGGTCGACACGATCGAATGCTTTTGAAAAGTCTATGAATATGCAGTCGGTCTGAGAATTGTCATCAGCATGTCAGAATAAGTCATTAGTAAATTCTAAAAGATGCGCTTTGCATGAATGACATTTTCTAAACCCATGTTGGTTATGAAAAAAAAATTATTAGATTCCAAGTTACATTTAGACAATGAGACATTTGAGAAAATGATGTATTCAAGTAATTTACCGGGGACACTAGTTAGTGATATCAGTAGATAGTTACTAACCTTATTTTTATTTCCCGATTTGTGAACGGGAATGACTTTGCCAATTTTCCAATCGTATAGAATTTAACCTGTGCTCAACAAATGCTGAAAAATTTGAGCGAGAAATATACTTGACGGGATAACTGTTATTTTAGGAATTTTCGAGTTAATGCTGTCTGCCCCAGATAAAGTGGATATTTTCAATTTGTTGATTAATGACGCTATTCCCTCAGATGTAACATTTATAGGGCTCATGTACTCGTAGCTAACCTCTAGGGAATAAGACATATTGAAAAAGTTTTCCACTGTAAACACAGATGTAAAGTAGTCGTTGAAAATAGTTGCAAAATCATTGTGTGGAATGGCATTACCGTCGTCGTCGAAAGTGAGATGCGACACTCAAAAGTGAGTGCACCGCTTGCCGTATCCGCACAGTTTTCAGGCTTGCGTGGCGATTTAATGCACTTTAATGAAGCATTTTTCTTCGTCCATCCTCTCTTGATCTGGAATTTTTTTTTTGTGGCTTTGAAGATACCACAGGAGGTCGCGAAAAACTTTAGGTACAATTACCCATACAAGCCTCCACTTCACTATCGTGAGCATGTGGGACATTTTCCCCATCAAGAATGTTGTGTAGGTTTTCAAGGTGTCATCGGCATAAAAATGCACATCGCAAACTCGCGATTTACCTGACAGCCTTTTAGAGATGAGGAATAGCGTGATCCCACACTACACGAAGAGCCAGGTCACGTGGAGGTCAGAAGTGCCTCGGGCACTTAGGCACACAACAAGTCGGCATTGCAGACGAACAAACATCTACGCTATTTAAAACACAACCGCATGCAAAATATCTTCACTCTGCGTACTGCAACACGCGGACCGAGTGCAATCGCAGCGAAAAACATACTCTATCTGATGCACGTTGCTGGACTAGCTGAAGCCTGTTGCGACAACAGTGCCACTTTTAGTCACCACTATGCAAGTGGCCCGCCCCGCTCAACACTGCAGAGTTTTCAAACTGAACAAGTTCTATAAATGTTGGGCGAAAGCACGCATGGCTGGGGTTGACAAATACAGTGCCCAGATATCACGTGTCTATGCTGGATTTTTTTAAAATATTGGTACAAATATACAATAATACAAAGAAAAAAACACGCTTGCGTGGAAGGTGTAGCAGTCACAGCGAAAGCTAGAAGAGCAGCTTTTGGGAGCCTTTTCAAAATACTCATTGGGTAACTACTGCAAGCACACTTGCTTCATATCCACTAGGGCGCCAATATTAAACTTTTGGGTTGTAGGCCGGCATTCGCTATGCTATTTTTCATCATTCTTCTAAGAAGCGTGGTATCCGTTAAAACTTTTGGAAAGAATTTCATGCCAATTGTTCATGCTGAGGCTGACGACGATGAAGAATTATGGCTGAAGTGGGTATGCGCCACAGTTAATAGGGGAACAAAACAAGCTTTTGTAATGGGTTGGAGCATTGGACGACAGACTCGTTACGCTATTTGCGTTATGAGACGACTGGTTGTTCTTTTGCTGTTTTAAAATGCTTTATAAATCGTATTAACGCGATTGCTTTCCTAAGGCAAGTTTGCCAACTTAGGCAACCAACTTAGGCAAACTTGCGTTAGGCAAGCATGCGTAAGGCAAGTTTGCCAACAAGTCACAAGTGCCAGCATAGCTCAGTGGTAGAATACTGGGCTGGCAACCAGCATACCCAGGTTTCGAGCCCCACTGTGTCTTTGGTGCTAGGTTTTTTTCTAATTTCGAGCTATGTAGTTACGGACACCAGCGGCGCCAGCGGACAACTGTGTGTGACCAGAGTTGTGATCTCAGAACAGCTTTCGCTGTAAATGATTCATCTTAAGTGTATGACACTTTTTCTTAATTAGTTACTATAGAAGCATCAAAGCAATGCTCGCATTTGTGTATATCTGATGTGTTTTTGGGCAGTACTTCCTTTGTATCGTATTATGCTGTCTAACTCCACCAAAGCCACGTGGAAGTTCCTGATATGCACCTTTCAAGAAGCCTTCACAGTAACCATGGGCACTGCAGAATAGGAATTCACTGCTTCAGGTTAACATTGAATGCCTTAAATCACTCTGAAAACATGGTCATCAGCAGGATTTTTTTCTTGAGAGGTGCAAACCAGCGTTGCATCGTGTATGGGGGAGGGGGAGAGCGCAGGTGTTGCTTGGGTGTGGGCAAGTTCTGGTGTGACTTGGGGGCCAAGTGCCCCTTTTGCACCCCCCCTGCAGACGCCCATGCCTGTAAACTAGCCTATGCATAGCTTTTGAATTGGTCTTGTGAGAAGATTGAAATATTGGAAGATTTTGGTTTGGTTGATTGTTATGTGGGGTTTAATGTCCCAACACCACCATAGGATTATGAGAGATGCCGTAGTGGAGGGCTCTGGAAATTTTGACCATTTAGGGTTCTTTATTGTGCACCCAAATCTGAGCACACGGGCCTACAGCATTTTCGCCTCCATCGAGAATGCAGCCATCGCAGCCGGAATCCAATCCCGTGACCTGTGGGTCAGCAGCAGAGTACCTTAGCTACTAGACCACCGCGGCAGGGCATTGGAAGATATACACTAAAGCTAAAGGATTAGATGGAAGGCTATCATTATAAGCTCAATTCCGCCTGAAAACTTGTCTGGTGATAATGCAGCACTTGCTCTACTGACTCTCTGTATAACAGAGGGCAATTATACCATGTGTACTTTCTAAACATAACATTCGGCACACAGCGTTGCATGAAAAAAGCTGACCTTATTCTAAGGTCACAGCATTTGTGTCTGTTTGCAGCCCATCCCTTTCAGATGCTCAAAATGCTGCCATTTTTGGAAAGTGCAACAACCCAAATGGTCATGGTCACAACTACAAATGTGAGCATTTTGTTTTTCTGTGGTATGCAAGATTTGTCACCAGTATCCATGAGTGTTATTACTTGCAGCGTACATTTCTTTTCAGTGGAAGTCACAGTCACTGGCCCTGTAAGTGGTGTACATATTTTCTAGCTTATCAGGACATGCAAGGTACGATTTTTTTTTTCTGGTTTGCACTTTGCCGCAACAGGTGGACACAGCCACAGGAATGGTAATCAACATCATAGACCTGAAGAAATTATACAGGTCAGCCCTCTTGACTTTTCTACCCTTAGCTGAAACTATAAGGCTGACAGGTCAAGTTTCAATTCCTTCTTTGCAATCCTAGTATATTTGTGTGTTGTATATGTGTTCATTTTGTTAGCATTCATTTCATCATTAAAGATTTGGTATGTTTTGTGCAGAGGCTTACTCATTACAGAAGACAAACTTGCCTGAATTTTTATCTTATTGAAGTTGATACTGAAAACTACCTGCTCATCATGTGCAAATATGGCAAAAATCTGCTTAGATATAAGATAACCACAAGCGAGGGGGCAAACTACTAAATGAAGACTGGATTAACAAGATTAACGGACCAGTTAAGGTAGTAAAAAAATAATGTTTACCTCCTACGAGAAAAATAATAATCAGGTCGCTAGGAAAATTATCTGCATTGCTATGCCTAAATTCTGCTTCAAACAGCAGTATTCAGCAAGAAAGGTCCGAATTGTTGCCATAGCCTTGGGCAAGTTTCCACCACTACAAGCCATAATATCAATTTCTTAACATGTCCACAAACTGCTTAATGAGTAAGGCTGTACAAGTATTTCCAGATCAAGTTAAATAACTGTGGAGAATCCAACAAATATTTAGTCCATCACACATCAAACACTTTTATTTTCAATTTATGAAATGTTCATGTGTTGAACAACTCGAGACAAGTTGGTGCGAGAACAATTGCTTAGCAACTCTACTTTCAATACTCAGCTCACTCTTAAAACAGTCGGCGAAATTATGCCCACAATTGAACAGTTAAAAAACTATTTTTTAAACCACATCTATTCATTGCTAGTCCTGTGCGAGCTTTGGGCAGTGCCCAAATCATTCTGTATGCATTGTGTACTTGCAGTGACAGTGCATGGTGCAGTATAACGAATTCCGCTATGCAAACAAGGACCAACATGCATTGTCTAAAACATGTATGGCCATTGCAGAGTGAAGTGATGGATGCTCTTGATCACAAGAATTTGGACAAAGATGTGCCATACTTTCAGAGAGCAGTCAGGTATGAACTAACACAAGTTATTTCCAGTTCATGCATTCCCTTATAATACAGAAAAGTTGCATACTATATATTCATGAAAATTAGGCAGTTTAAAAGAGGGCTTCTAGAGAATGCAACTGGCTTCAAACAGTCTTTTTCACGACACCCTGCACATGCCCTTCCCCTGGCAGAAAAGTGAGGCTGTGCTGTGAAGCTATGCTTCTGGTCAATAGTGGTTGTCTCAGCCCCTACCAAAATGGTGGGGGCGGCTCAGTAAAATGAAAGAGGTAGGTTAGAGCATGCTGGCTGTGCAAAAAAAAAGACTTTGTATTGCTAGAAGATGGTTATATGGTAGAGACTACATGGCTTCACTTATGTCATTGGGTTCAGTTTATAGACCCAGTACGCCTTATTTGCAGTCTTAGGCAGTTGTACTGCTGCCAGATCCTCCGGAAATAACCAGTTAAAAACTCTTGAGCTGCTTTCACAGAAGTCAATTTCATTTGAAAACACAAATGCTTGCATGCCATGTAATACTGCTGGCATGACATTTTTTTCAGCACAACAGAAAATGTAGCAGTGTTTGTCTGGCAGCGGCTGCACAAGGTGCTGCCCAAGGAGCTGCAGCTTTGTGTGCGGTTGCACGAGACGGACAAGAATGTAGTGACGTACGAAGGACTGTGAAGCTGTTGACACACGCTTGCTGTACTGCAGTCGTCCTTTGGCATGGAAAAATAGTAGTTTCATATCTAAGCCTCTTTATCCTGAAAATTGTATGCAGCTCCTATTACACCGGTCACACTTCTATGTCGCTAGGTAGAGTCCCTAGCTATTGCTTGAAGAAATAAATCGCAACAAAACATATCTCGCCTCTTGGTGGTGGTGGCTGCCCAGTGTCTACACTGCAAGTCTCCTTGCTAATCTTGTCATATTTTGAGCTCATTAACAGTGATGTGAGCCACAGGGATGGAGCACTTATTGTGATGCACACACAAATATGGAAATTCCAATCATTTATTCAACTAGGAATATAAAAATACAGGTTATATGTAACATAACAAAGTGATGTATATTTTAGCTTAGCTGTTTTCTGTCCGATCTTCATGATCACCTGAAGGTACAAAAGAAAACATGGTAAGTAGCATTCAATAAGCTTCATATTATTGCTTTTGTTATTTGCAGTATATTGAGAACTTCAACAGTTAGGATGGCAGTGATTTTCCAGTGTATTACATGTGCCAACTTGAAACATACCTACACATTACAAAAAAAAATGTATAGTCAGCCAATTCAATTTTCCACAGTTATAAATTCATCCATGCGAGGTGTAAATATTGTTCATACTTTGTCATATAAAATACTTTCCACTAAGTGGTTGAGAAATGTCTTTGAAGTACATAAGACCTAAATTATTCCATACTACTCTTTGGTGTGCTTTTCAAAGAACACTGAGCAAAAGTAAAAGCATTCAAGAGAGTGCCTGTGGCCAAAGTTGAAGTGCCATTACACAGAAGTGTTATCACAGCAGTTGCGAACTGTAGCTGTATAACTAGGAAGTTGGTCATGTCTTTGGAAGCAGGAGAAAATAATGAAGGGGGAAGACTAGTTCCCTTTGCTTCAGTCTCATCATTGGGATTTAGAGCTGGCTATAGACTGAAAATAGTTGCCAGCCAATTAAGCTTCCCGTGAACCTACCGATTTCACTTGGGTGTAAGCTTCAAGGCCATATTCTCCAAGCTCACGGCCAATGCCAGACATTTTGTAACCACCAAAAGGTACTTGGGCAGTCAACACATCGTAGCAGTTCACCCTGAAGCAGAAAATAAACTTTCAGGTTATACGAAATGATAAAATTAATTTTTTTCCACACCACGCAGCATGAAAACGAAATATGGAAGTTGCTTTGTAACATACTTTCCATAAATTCCTGAAGTGTGCAGTGGTGAATGGCAAAACAATTCACTTAGATGCTGCTGTAAGTTGAGACAATGGTAGCTTATGCCAGTATGAGTGCACGGCTTACGACTCGAGTCAGCCAATGAAAGCGACTACTTGCAATACTCAACCAAACGGTCCACCCCATTTCAAATAGTTGCATGCTGCGGTGCAGCCCGTATATCAGCGATGTGAACTGTAGTGGCATTGACAGTTGCACTAATGTTAACAACTATTTATATTGAGACATCCGCAATATGAATGGTGCTCCAGAAAAAGATCTAGAGAGGCATTGTACCATATCTGAAACTTGACCGTTATAAAGTGCAATCTAAACCCTTAGAGACTAACAGATAAAAAAGACACTAGTGTGCCTAGAGTGAAATAGGGGCTGATAAAAAAGTGCATATAAAGTACCCTGCTTATAAGAGACACCTCTTATAACGGAAAAGACTCACTGTCCAGTGCATGTCTCTTATGAAGAGGTTCAGCTGTAGTACATTACATAGTACAAAGAAGGTAGTGGAGGTGCCACAGGAAATGTTGCAATAATCGATCAGTGACTAAATGCTTCGTCCATTGGTTTGTCTAGGCTATCAGCCATGCCAAAGACTCATTAAATGAAACTGCTAGCTTTACGTCTACGTTTAAATTTCTTTTTGTTCTGTAGACATGAAATTTAAAAAACCCACATCACTAATTGAACTAAAGTGGATGCTAATTTAGTGTACTATGTTTAAAAGCCTTATACTCCTGTAATTTTGATTTATATAAATAAAAAAAGATAGAAGGAAAGGTAACATGGAAGCCTGCGATGAAGAACATCTGAACAGAGCCTTGACGACAAGTCCACTTGTCGAAACACTGGCACGAGCACACAACCCATGTTAGTATTGGATTTTTTCGTATGATTTATGTCGTAGCACAGACATTGGTCGCGAGGGCCTCTATAGGTACAGGTCAGAGGTGCGCTGCAATTGTTTTGACGTCACAGATAGGATGCTTCTGCTCACCTTGCTGTATAGTCGTTGTGGAATGCGACATTAGGGTGAGATCGCTGTGCGCGGCATTCGTTGCCTGGCGTGTAAAGCTTAATTTGGCCTGCTGGACATATCATTGCCATGTAAGCACTATTAGGTTGCGTACAAGCAGCTTTTATAATAATATAATATCCGTGGTTTATTGCCATGTAAGCACTATTAGGTTGCGTACAAGCAGCTTTTGATAATAATATAATATCCGTGGTTTTACGCACAAGAACCACGATATGATTATGAGAGATGCCGTAGTGGAGGGCTCCTGAAATATTAGCAATCTGGTATTTTTTTAACGAGCACAGGCCTCCAGAATATCACCTGCATTGAAATGTGATCGCCGCGGTCGGGATCGAACAAATGACGTCAGAAGCCGAGTACTGTAACCCCCACACCACCGCGGCAGACAGCGTGCAGCTTTAGCTTGTTGGTGTACAGTTAGATGCCTCAGTGCCAAGTGTATGCAACAAATGTCCCGGTAGCTTTTCATCATTGCCCCAAATGCGAAGGAATGCGCTACACTTGACTGGTAAAGCTGAAAATGGAATAAGACGCTAATGCTAACTCGCGGGTCCGCAGAAAGCACTTTCGTAAAAAAGATTTCATGTTCGCCACTATTTCTGAGATGTTCAGTAACAGCTGAGCTGACGTACGCTCACTAGGCTCCCGGTAGCTCATTGCATGCATTTGCCAATCAATTTGCTGATGATTGAAAACGACAGTCTCACTGTAAATTAACAAATTAAGTAAAAAAAAGACCAACCACATCTCAAATAACTCCCACGACGAGGTCCTTAGAAAACAAACACAGTCACATTTACCATCTCATCGAAGGCCCTGAAAACTAACATCGATATGTTGCCGACAAGTGTAAGCCACGGCGAAAAGTGGATGAAGTAAAAGAAAAACGAATACGGTCATTCTACTGCCATTGGCATTTCCAAAATGGCCGCCCCCTACGTGTGTCGGCATGGCGCGTCAGCCGTTTCTGCCTAAGTGTTTCCCATGTGCGGCACTTCGTACGTGTAATGAGGAGTTCGTCATCTTGTAGTGCACTAGCATTGACGGCATGGAAGGGCCGACTCTAAAAACTCGACGAGTGCACCACGATGCGCTTTTAAAAGAAAAGTCATCTCGTGTGCCGAAACAGACAGAAATCGGGCCGCATCGCGGTCGTTCGGAGTTCCCAAAACGTGCGTGCGGGACTGGCAGAAACAAAAGCAGAATGTTGTCGACAACAAAGATTCACGCGAAGGCTTCAGTGGACCACAGCAGGGTCGGTTTCTGCACATTGAAGAGCTGCTCGGCGAGTATGTGATTGAGCAGTGAGCGGCACAACCGCCTGTGACGACAGAACTGCTCCAAGTGCAGGCTATGCAGTTAGCCTTAGAAAAAGGTCTAATGCCGAGCCAGTTTAAAGCGAGCAGGTGCTGGCTAACTAACTTTATGAAGAGGAAAGGTTTTTCCCTCGGAAGGCGAATGGGCATATGCCAAAAGTTGCCGGAGGAGTACGAAAAAAAGCACTGTTTTCAGAGGTTCGTCCTAAACTTGCGGCACAAACTACGTGCTCGGGCAAACCGGGAATGCCGATCAGACGCCTCTTTACTTCGACATGCCTGGCACCACAACTGTCAAGAAGGGGGCGAAGCAAGTTCGCGTGCTGACATCGGGCCACGGTAAAACTAGAGTGACCGCAATGCTCCGTTGCACGTCAGATAGGCCCCGTACCTCATATTTAAACGGAAGACGCTCCCAACAAGTCGTTTTCCCGAGTGGTGTGATCGTGCGGGCCACCGAGAAAAATGGGTGCGCGTTGCAATCGATGTCTTACCCCCATTTTTTTTTTCGTCGAGGAAACCAGGTGCGCGTTACAATCGAGGGCGTGGTAGAATCGAGTAAATACGGTAGGTTGCGTACAAGCAGCTTTTGCTAATAATAACATATATGAGGTTTTACGCCCAAGAACCACGATATGATCATAAGGGACACTGTTGTGGAGGGCTCCGGAAATATTAGTTATCTGGTATTTTTTATTGTGCACAGGCCTCAGAATATCACCTCCATTAAAATGTGATCGCCGCGATCGGGGTCGAACATGCGACGTCAGAAGCAGAGTACTGTAACCGCCACACAACCGCGGCGGACAGCATGCAGTTTAGATTGTTGGTGTACTGTTAGATGTCTCAGTGCAAGGCGTATGCAATAGATGTCCCGGTAGATTTTCATCAATGCCCTAAATGCGAAGAAATGCGCTACACTTGACTGGTAAAGCTGAAAATGGGATAAGACGCCAACGCTAACTCGCGGGTCCGCAGAAAGCACTTTCGTAACAAAGATTTCATGTTTGCCGCCATTTTTGAGATGTTCAGTAACAGCTGAGCTGACGTACGCTCCCGATGCACCCGGCAGCACATCACATGCATTTGCAAATAAATTTGCTGATGACTGACAACGACAGCCTCACTGTAAATTAACAAAATAAGTAAAAAAAACACAATTGGCTCCTATAACTCTCACGCGAGGTCCTTAGGAAACAAACACTGTCACATTTACCATCTCATCGAAGGCACTGAAAACTACATCGATATGTTGCCCCTGAGTGTAAGCCACGACGAAAAGTAGATGAAAAAAAACAGAAAAAAAAAAACGAAACTCCGATGACTATCAATCTTATTAGATCACAGCTAAAAGAGCAGTGGAGGGCAAGCCAATTGGCCCTTGTATATCCCCAAGCGCTTGTAAGCATGTTTTTCAATTCTCCACACTCACCATTCGCACGTGTTCATTGACACGTGCATTTGAATCGCATTAAGCTGTGCGTTTGAACCGCATGCGTGGATGTTATTACTGTTCTGCAGCACATTTTATACATGGTCTGAGATTTCTCGTGGGGTA